CAAACAACACCAAAACATAAAATATTTTGAAAGCCTCTGGCTAGCTGCTATGGACTGAATGTAACACAACTGTGGTTCACTTACATTCATTGTTGCTAACGCAGTACAACAGCAGTTATTAGTTTGAGGTTGTGGGATCAAATTTGAGACCAACTGCTGAGAACTATTGTAAACTCCAAGTGACATGCTGAATGCAATACAGATATCCTTGCTGCATGCCTCATAATTACTTTCTCCAGAGTGTTCTGGTGATTATAGTTTCATCAGCATTCACAATACCTAATTTTAAAATCAAATGTAGGTTTGTATACAGCATTTGCAAACTTCTTGAGTTTACCATAACAATTCCTGTTTTGAGTGTTATCTCCAAATGGTTTGCTTAATAAAATTTGAATATAAAATTCTGATCCTAGACTTACATACCCACATCAAGTTCCTTGCTTTAAGATCTTCCCTCACTGAACATTCAATTTCAATAATTCCAAGTCAATAGCTTCACTGTTTAATTTTTCTTCCATTTAAGATTTTCTTCAGTTTAGTGTTCAAATCCACTGATCCTAAAATAAAACTGAAACAGCTGTTTCACTGTATTTTCTGTCACACATTTGAAATTTACTTTATTAAAGTCAGATACCACTTTATCATACAACTTTGATCAAGGATCCCATTTTCCTTACATCAATGAGAATACTGTACCCATGTTACTGTCTGGTTTATGAGGTTCCAGGCCCTATCTGATGTATTTATTTTGTATATACTGTTATATGATATCTATATTGAAATAACCATTTGATAATTTAGAAAAATCGAATATTTTAAGATAAGTACAGTATAGTTGCATTTTATGTGAATTTGAATTATGCAAATTTGAAACAGAGTAAAAAAAGTAAAAAAATTCAAGTTTCCCTGTAACAGGCCGTGGAGGCCCATGGGGTTGTGAGACGTTGAGGCTCCCACATTTTCTAGACAATCGGCTCATAGATGGCCGCCCTTTACCCCCAGGAATATTCCTGGTACACATTTCTGTTATAGGCTGAGTCAACCCCAGGGTCATAGTGCAGCTGGAAGGGTTAGGTAAATTGAAAAAACCAACCTCATTGGGATTTGATCCTGCAACTTTCTGGCTTGTAGTATAGTGCCTCAACCAACTATGCTACCGTGCCCCCAAATTTGAAATACAGCGATATAAAAGATAATAATATAGTCTCATTTTATGCCAAAAGTTTCAAATAATATGAATCCCCAAAACTTTGGCAATACGTCTATTTCTATGAGAAAGCTTGTCTTGAATTATGCAAGATATTCAGGAATGTGTTCCTCGCATAAAATGCAACGGCACTGTATTTTGAATTTGTAACTTTAACAACCTGACAATGAAGTAATGACTCTTTCTTATTCCAAATATTTTTAATCTAGTTTCCTTCTTTTGAAAAAATAAAAGGAGGTTTATGAAATCATCTTGCTTTCTGCATGTCTGTGTATCTCCCCTTACTGTTTATATGCATGTTCTCATGGCAATGAATACACATGCAACAACAGAAGTGTTTGACACAATGTTGTATCAAATACTCAATACGAATTGAGAGGAAAGTAGGCAATTAGTTCTCCCCGGAACTTCTTTTTTAATTCCAGGTGTGAACTTCAATTACTTCAGCCATGTTACAAAACATCTAACTCCTTCAAATGACTGCTGTGAAGTGCCCACTAATTTAATTTTGAGTAGCCTAAATCAGACTTAACTGTATGTTCAGTGTTCAGTTGGAGGTACAAAGCATCTCTCTACAAAAGCTCTTCAGATTTGATGCCCAATATGAATGAAAATTTTCATTCAAGATTAACCAGTTCTTTTTCCAGTACACTAAATCTCATTTAAACATTTTTTTTTAAATATCAGGACCTCAAAATTTCAAACAAGAGGAAGCATCTTACAAAGGAAAGAGAAGGAACATCCTTGAAGAAAAAACAACATATTACATATGATAACATACTGTACAGTTAAGCAAGTCACGGATGTTAAGCAACATATTTCATAAAACGATTGTAAACTCCATTGTGAATATACACAAAACTGCTGAGAACAGTGCAGAGACAGGTAAGGTCAACAGCATGTCAATATTGCTGCAGAGAAAATGGAGGTCAGTCCTCCCTCCCTCCTTCTCAAATGTTGCACACATCATCATTCACTCCTTTCTTAACTTTCAGAGCACTACACATAATTACTGACATTACCTTGCAAGTACCCTAAATGTTTACATGTCATTAATTTATCATTTCCTTTATGGTGAGGATATCTGACACAAGGAAATGTCTCCCAAATGGTGTGCCATGGAACCCCAGGGTTCCACCAACTAAAAATGAGGGTTCTGCAACAAAATTTCATTACATTATATAAAACTATAATTTTAATATGATTGTGCATTTCATTTAAAATAGATTTTTTTTTTTTATTTTGCAGCTTCTTTAGATTAGACATGTCACTGTCAAAGGGAAACATTCAACATTAAAGTGTCTTTTTGCCTCAGATGAAAACACTTAATCAGACAAGTAATGCCAGCTGATACTCTTCATTAGAATACACTTGTGTAAAACTGGATCCTCGAATTATGCATCAGCAAAAACAGAATTCAGAAACAGATTAAATGCACTGCTAGATTTCAGAATTCAAAATTCCAATATCATTTAAACATAAAAAGAATTTGTGAAGTAAGAAAGAGAAACCACTCTTCACACCGAAAACTGCAAACATGTAGGATAGTAGTCTTCATTTTTCACATCCACGAAATGTGATTTTATTCCTGGAAATGTGCAATTAAACAATATGTTCTTCTCATACCCTAGTTTAACGTTTACTTATTTGTGGTCTAGATTTAGGCTTCATACATAAGAATTTCATTAAGGGTTCTGTAAAAATATTTCAAGTGCAAAAAGGTTCTGTACAAATTTTCTGAGCACAAGAGGGTCCCATGGACTAGTTAAATTCGGAAACAATTATGTAGACATATGCATAGGGGATGTCATGCTGCGTAGTTTGGAAGAAAGGTTACTGCTTCATAGGAACCTGCTACTTCTATCTTCAGTTCAGCACACTGGTTCCCAAACTGTGCTCTGGTAGAACATTAGTGTTCCACCACTGAAATTGAGTAATGACAGTCTTTTCATAGTTTCTCTGAAAAAATAAAGTTAAAGGATAGAATTTTCTCTTTTACATATTTCTCACAATTTCGTGCATAAATTTTATTTTTGCTCAATTTGATTTAAAGACTGCCTTTGTTGTTGGTGCTGTTGTTACTGTAACTTCCACTGCCCCCCCTCTTCTTCTTCTTCTTCTTCTTCTTCTTCTTCTTCTTCTTCTTCTTCTTCTTCTTCTTCTTCTCCTTCTCCTTCTCCTTCTCCTTCTTCTTCTTCTTCTTCTTCTTCAGATATGTAGACTGTGATATAATACAATATATTTTCCACTCTTAATATTTTCTATTATACCCAGTTCAAACGATGGCAAAGAAAGACCAAGTTTCCAAAGGGCCTGCAGAGAACAACATGATCCCAAGGTGATCCATGAACTGAAAGAGTTTGGGAACCACTGTTTAAAGGACTGAAGATGGAAGCAGCAATATCATTTGAAATCACACAGTGTCGCATCTCTGAAGACAGCCATCTTCACATTCAACACCAAATATATGAGCAATACATCTCATTGTTTTGATAACAGATCATCCAACTGCAAAGTATTAGCGAAAATGAAAAATACTGTCACCTGTGCCTTTTCGATTAATTGTTTCATTAAGAAACACAGGCACAAAATTCTTTCTAGCACTTACAGCACACAAGACACCAACTTTCACTAAATGGAGTGGGACTTCGTGCGTTAGATGTGGATTCTGTGAACTCCAGTTGTGATTCTTTTTTGTATTTATGTATCTCTGCAGGTGAAACCATGTGTGTGTATCATGCATAATCGCTTCACAAATTCTTTAATTATCTCGTTCTATTGCTACATTCTAGAAACTTTACTTCCAAATTTTGAGTTTTACTTTAAAATTTTGGTTCCGTGTCACAAAGCAGAGAAGTACCTGAAAGCGGCAAATTGAGGAATGTGTGAACTGACGTTAAGAAAGGAGTCCTCTCAGACATATAGTAAATTGATTATATATTAAACATATGCACAAAATTCACACACTGAGGGAGGACCACCACAGTTCCAATTCAGGATCAGAACTCCCCACTCTCAGCACCACGGCCCATGCACACACATGACGAGATATACTGTCGCATTCCACCCACCCTCTCTGACCCAACTCGTCTGTTGACTTCCTTGTCATACTGGTGCATACTTGCTGACCTCATATCGGTCATCGTGGATGTGGGTTCGAATGTTTCCACACGCTTCTCTCCTTCATCCACTCCCTCATCAGCGGGTGTATCATATATGCCTGTGCTTTTATTAAGTTCCTTGTCACTGCTATAGCTCTGGCCTGCACTGCTTGCGCGTATGTCAGCAATGTTCTCGTAAATCCCACCTTCATCTTTGTCTGGATCACTATCACCACTGTAATGCCAAACATCTTCCCCAGTAATTTCTGCTACATTCTCATACGTTCCCTGCCGTTCCAAGTCTTTGCTGTACTGTTGCATGACTAGTCCTATCCGTTCTGTGGACGCTTCAGAAGCTCCAAGTCTTTCAATATCTTTGATATATTGCTGCACCCCTTGCCTAGCCTGTTCTGCTGTCATTTCATAAACCCCATGTCTCTCTGTGGCTTCCTTCTCAGCTTTTCTGTAACCTCGGCTTGCCCGTCCCTCATCAAGAGTCCTGCGTCTACCTGGCTCTCGATCTAGCCATTGAGATCCTCGACCCATGCGGCCACTTGTGGACATCTCATATGAGCTGTGGCTCTCTGGGTCCCTATTACGGAAGTGTCGAGAACCCCAGCCTCCTGTGGTACACATTCCATCATGTCTGTTCACACTGGAGCCGACCCTGCGAGACACTGAGGGTGACTTACCCTCTTGGCTGCTAGGACTTGCCACTTTGCGATGCCTGCTTCTTGCAAACACTCGTGAGATGCTGCCCCACGTACCACCACGACTACCGCTACGTCCCTGCTGCTGGGACACCACTGGAGGGGGTGGAGGGTGATGTTGGGGGTTCTTTAACCCCCGCCGTACTTCCAGTTCCAAAGGGCTGCTGAGCTGCTCCACAGACCTGCACATATTGGAAATACACTGTTTTGGTTTTCTTCCTTAATTATATTAAGGAAGATTGGATGGGTAGGCCAGGTAGCATACATGGGACAAGAAGATATGCTTATGATATTCTGAACATTTCGAAGGAACCTGCTGCTTTGACCTCCAGGGTATGTGGTGTCACATCCAGCAAGACCATAATCTTCATATTCACTGTTGTAAGAACCTCAAATCTTATAAATTTACCTAAACTTTCATTGAACTAAAGTAAAATCTCTTCCACTGGTTCAGTTCAGATTAATACAAAGAATGACTGAATACTGAAAGCAGGTGATGATAGCTTCCTTCACTCTCCTAACCAGTAATGTGGGTTGCCTCTACTGTCATTCCCCCCCTGCCATTTACAAAACTCTGCCTTCAAGACTCAGTCAGACAGAATTTTATCACTGGCTGAGCTTCAACTAGCCCTTATCTCTCTTCACTCTGTGCAACTCCGCTGTATTTCACAACAAAGAACAAGTAATTTTCAACTTCATAAATGTATTAAACTTTTCTATGTTATTCTCTCTTAAAATAAAAAACATCATCTATTCAGACGTTTTCACGATAACCTACAATTTACACTGCTGAAATGGCACACATGTTTAGCCTTGATTGTTGAGAAGTGGTGAGATGTGCATTTTCATAGATCTTTTCAAACACCTAAGAAAAACATACTGACTGCTTTTAAGTGAGATATCTCATGTGAAGCATGGTTAAATATGACAATGGAAGCACTGAAATAATTCAGTTACTGAAAACAAACCACACACATGTGCATAAAATACACAAAGAGTTTTGGAGAGAGATCTGTATTTATACTGTTGTGTTCCCCATTCTAGGATTGATTAACAAGTGGATTGGAAGTGTACAGATCACAACAGTGGAGGTAAATGCAATAAACTCAAACAAGATTACTTATTACATGAACAACGGTGAGTAACAGTGTATAACTTGGGATTTAAGGAATGACATGCATCAATGCTGAAGGTTTTCTCACGGTGCAACAAACACTGCTGCTGCCATATTGAGAATCAGCATCTGAGGGTTGCATCAGATCAGGTAAATTGCTGCTGGCCGTAGCTAGAACAGTCATTCTCAGTTCTGGGTTTTGGAAGCTCTTATATAGATCTGGCAGTGGGCAGTGAACATGTGATTAGACAAAACACAGAAACACAGTGGAGTGCTGACAGGGACTGACCACATGGCTGAGAAGTTCTCTAGTTAACAAGTAATCCTAAATGGAAATGATTATGAATTTTAATAACTTCGTGTTTAGGATGAAAAGTTACAGATGAGTATTTAGTGACTATATAACGAGGACAATTTTTTGGAAAAGATTTTATTTATCATGTGGTTAGGAGAAAAGGTGATGAAAAGTTCTTTTTAGTAACAACAAATATAGGAAAGGATGTGATGTAAAAGAAGTTGAGCATCAGTGAAATGGCATGATAGCAGGAATAAAATGAAAGAGTTCAAAACCAAGTAGAAGTGGTAATGGAAATAGTTTTGATGACCAGGAGAGCAGGAAAGGAGGTGATGAAATATTGTTCCTACTTATGGCTACAGCAGCAGACAACTGTAGAATCTGACATGCACTAAACATTTCTTCAGATAATAGGTCTGCTATTTCTACAGTCTTAAGCAATGACACTGGCATAAAGGGTTCTCATTCAACACTGTTCATCAATAAACCGTCTTGTTAAAGCTCATTCTATTTGCTGCCATTGCTCCACCAGTGACAGCATTCTATTCAATAAACCCATCAATCCTAGAACTTGGAACACAATAGTACAGCTGTTCCTAATCTTTAAGTTAGAATAAGTATAAAACAAAATGGGGAACATACCTTGACAGAACACTGCTGTCCATCGATTTTGAGAATGTGTTGGCATTTAAGGGTGAGAGGGAAGGGCTGCAGTCCTTTGGTGTGGTAGCAGCTGCAACAAAATGCCAACTTCAGAACTTTTACCATACAAACTGAATGTTACCAACTCACATCACACAGAGTACTCAAAATGGAACAGCACACAGTAGCATTAATTTACATGATTCTAGTAGAACAAATATTCTGGCTTCATAAATGATTTAAAATGTATTAAATCAGGAAGGCAAGAAATATATGATCATCCATTCATTCATTCATTTATGTAATTTTCTCATAAGTGCTGAGTTTCTGGACTTCGTCCAACAGCAAGAATTTTAAATGAAAATGTTTCAGAAACTGCATCTGTTTCCCTACTCATGCAAAAGGTGATGAGGCACCTAATAAGTTGGGTCAATTGGGAAGAGCTAACCTCAATCACTGAACAACCAAAGTAAGTTGATATACATACATATACATGCATATCAGATCAGGTTTTTTAGTTGAAGATAATAAAATGTGCAGTACAAATTATGAAAATACCCACAACAACGTAAAACTAAGATGGGGAAAGGAATTATAAGTAAATCCACTAGACAAAAACTGATTTAGCATCCAGAAACTCAGTAATCCCAAGTGTGATAGACAATCATCACAACCTGTAAGAACTGAGTTGTTAATCTGCTGTATTAATGACAAATGCCATTATGTGACTGCATTTTACTCTTACTAAAGGCTCTATTAGTATAAATACAGAGAAGAAATTATTCTGTTAGCTAAATCAAGATTTCAATGAATTCCTAAATGTGTAGGCAGTTTTATAAGTGGGATGGAACGAGGCAGGATGCCACCTCTGCTCTATCGGATGGAGCTGGTAGCACTGAGCTGCTTTCCCATGTACACATAAGAGTCTCAGTATTCTTCTGGTTATACAACCAATCAAATAATCCTACCATTTACTTTCTTCTTATTTTCAGCCATATTTGCATCCATGTCGAGTATCTATTAAAATGACTCCATCTGTCCAGCACTGGAAACAACATGAGAACTACTGAATGGATTTCAAAGAAATTCTATATCGAATTTGTCAATCCATTCTAATTCTCATTAAACAATCATGCGATGATAATAATAAACATTTCAACTCTTTAATGAACCGTCACAACACAGCAAATAGTAAAACATCAAAGTCAGCGTTCAGCTGTGGCTTTGCTACACGTTTCGGCCACTATCGGCCATCATCAGGCAAATACATATCAACAAAAATCTACCATTTAACTGTAATCATAAAATGGATATAACACTATTAATCGTACAAATTTAAAAATGCTTATGTAAAAAATACAAAAGTTCAGATTATATAAAAATTAAAAATTGGAAGTATTATAACAAGATAAAATATTAATGATGTTTTCAAAAACACTGAATTGCTTTCCATGCAATACGGACAATTCTTCTTAATGACGAGGCAGCATTACACAATTCATTAATTGCTACACTATGGGCCTCTCTTAAAATCTTCTATATAAAGTAATATGGGATTTCCCTATTGTCTATGGAAACGCACACAAAGTATATCCAACGACTGATTCAATGTTTTTGAAAACATCATTAATATTTTATCTTGTTATAATACTTCCAATTTTTAATTTTTATATAATCCGAACTTCTGTATTTTTTACATAAGCATTTTTAAATTTGTACGATTAATAGTGTTATAACCATTTTATGATTGCAGTTAAATGGTAGATTTTTGTTGATATGTATTTGCCTGATGATGGCCGATAGTGGCCGAAACATGTAGCAAAGCCACAGCTGAACGCTGACTTTGATGTTTTACTATTTGCTGTGTTGGGACGGTTCATTAAAGAGTTGTATATTGTAGCACAGCAGGATGCATGAAATTAAGATAATAAACATTTCACATTAAAGTCTACATATGTTTCTACAGAATCTTGAACATAATTCCTGTATGATTCCCTAAATATCCAACAGAGACAAAAATGTTTGGAATGAAAGTTTTAGAGGACAAAGAATCATACATATTATGCTCAATACATTTTCCTTGGCAGCAGGGATAGCGGAGTTGGTATAGAGACTGGCCATGGACTGGATGACCAAGGGATTGGAGCTCGAGTCCCAGTAGGGTCAAGAATTTTCTCTCCTCCACATTGCTCAGGCCAGCTCTGGGGTCCACCCAAACTCCTAATCAATGGTACTGGGAGCTCTTTCCCTCGAGGGTAAAGCGGCCGGGCCATGAAGATGACCACTCACCTCCAATTAGTAGCGAGGTCAAGAAAACGTGGATCTGTACATCCACTCCCCATACACCTTCATGGCATAGTGCTTAATTAGTTAAGCACAGGGACAACTTTACCTTTATTGCTACATTTGTCCTTAAGCCTTACAATTTTCAAGATAATTAAATTAAATGTGGAAATTTGCCAGTATTATGCTATGTATACATTCCCTAACTTGTTCTTTTTTCAGTCAGGATACTATGACACAAAGCAGCAATGTAAAGATGAGGAACTCTGCCATTTGCATTCCATGAGAGCAGTCCACTTCCAAAATGGTAATCTTTACAAAGTGGAATTCCAGAAACCTTTATGGTTGATAAATTTTATCCAAAAATTATATGAGACTATCTGTTTCATTTTTAAATCTGCAACTGCCAACTATAGAAAATACTGACCTTTAAAAAAAAAAAATCTGTCTCTGACAGGATGTGTCATCTCTTAGCATTTTATCTGACTTACATAATCGTGAAATATGTGGAGGGAATATGAAATTTTACAGAGTTCTTATATATATTATTTACCCTTGAAAGAAGAGCAGCTATGGAAACCTCAAATGATAGCTTCACATTGCAAAAATTGAAGTTGGCACTTACAGGTCTCCTTTACAATGACAGTGTGCACAGTAACACTTGAAGCTAAAACAAATAAAATTAAACAAAATCCATATACCAAGAATAGACCCAGGATAGCGCAGTTAGTATAGTGACAGGCTATGGGCTGGACAACAGAGGGGTCGGGGTTGAGTTCTGGTAGGGTCAACAATTTTCTCTTCACCTTTTCATCCAGACCAGTTCTGGGGAGCACCTAATGAATGGGTACTGGTGATCCTTTCCTCGGGGTAAAAGCGGCCGGGACATGGAGCTGACCACTCACATCCAAATGGTGTTGAGATCAAGAAAACGTAGATCTATACACCCACTCCCCCAGAGGCCTCCATGACATAGTGTTTACTTAGTTAAGCACAGGACAGCTTTACCTTTTAATTTACTAAATACCAAGAACCTTACAGAGCATACACTGTACTTAAGAAATACAAAATAGATTGACTGACTTCAGTGATTCTGAATATTTTGGAATAAAATCAAAGATTATAAGACTGTCTGCTGATGAAAATGGAGTTTATAATATATTATGAATAAACAGTTGCATTTAAATTACATGATGCTATGGAGGAAGAGAGAGTTAAAATCAAAGTTCCAAGTAAGCATTTTTTTTTCTATCAATTCATCGATCATTCTCAGGTACTGATCTTTATGTAGAATAGAGCACACTGTGAGATTAACGTAACTTACAGTTTTGGGTGCAAGAATGGTATATAGGACTATTAGAAATTAAGAGAATAGTATTATTACGTGAATATACAAAGAGCACACTTGAAATGCATGAAAGAGAACCTGAGGTCGCAATTCATCAGCTTGTCACAGCAGCTGAGATTAATCTACATACACATAACAAAAAACATAGAAGCTAATATATATAAGACAGAAATAAGATCACCAACGCTACACCTGGAATGCAGACAGAGCAAGAACGTGTCAGCACATTCACAAGAGCAACAACGTAGAGATACCAGCACTAAAGTGTAAGAAAGAGTTTTTGTGATACTGTGAGGGTGGCTCTTCTAATACGATCCTCTACAATGTTGGTACCTATCTACCAAACTACGCTGTGTCACAACCAAGAAGGCTGTAATCTTAATACCTGTCATCCTGGAACATCAGATATCAAACAAGTGTTGTTAAACCCTGTGGTTCTTACTCACTTTAAGCTTAGTGGTTATGTACCACCTAAATTAACATTAAAAAACCCTGCCTTATGCCCGCAGAAATGTAATTATGTTTCATGGGATTCTCACAATAAACAGTGATTATATATCTACACAGTATTAACTAACTGTTCTCCATAATGGAGGGGGCCCTGTGTTTCCTGTGAGGTAGGAACTGAATTTCTATATATTACTTAAAAAACTTTGTTCTTCAAATTCGAAATCTACTACAGTAACTGAAAGTGTTCAAATACTGTTCAGATTGCTGTTCTGGAGTGTGACAACATGTAGCCTTGTAGGTGGATCCACTGCTTCAGAGGAAAATGCATACTCATCTTCAGGCTGTAAGTAGTCATTCAGGTGTACAGGATAGGGAGACAAGACAGAGCCTAGTCTGGACCAACAGGAATGGTAAACAGGAAAAGTAAGAAAAATGGAATAAAAGGAAACAGGGAAGAGGTTTCCTCCTAAGCCAAGTACCTCACTCCCTTCTCAGAGGACTCAGCACTGTTTCTCCACATTTCACATTTCTCCTATGCTACTACCGTGATCATTAAAAGTAGATTTTTTAGCTCACAATTTCCTGTCGTTCCAGAGACAGTAATACTACCATCCAAAAAGTTTGTCATTTTTCCTTACATTTCCTGCTCACTATTATCATCACCACAGACTGAGTTCTGTCCCATCTCCCCTGCACATGGACCCATTGGACCACATTCCCTCCAACCTGACTACATAACCTGAACGCAACCACACACTGCTGCATATGGAAACATATTTCCAAAAATTTCCACCTACAAGACTATACGGTGTCACAACACAGATGACCACAATCTGCATGAGGGGGAAGGGGACAAGTCAGCATTCCTCTCCTCTGGATTTTTAGAAAGAAATGAAAATTGAAGGACAAGGAAATATACCAAATATTAATACTAAAAGTACAATTAAAAAAAAATATTCTTCTATCCGGAATATTATAGGACAGTGGTTTCCAAATGCTTTCAGGCCACAAGCAAATCCCCAGTGCCCCCGCCCTACCCTATAATAAGCAATCTTCAGAACAGCAGTTTGCACAACCCACTATGGGAGATAACAGTAATAAAACAAGATACCACATTTAGTGACTACTTCACTGTTAGTACAGTCTTATTGGGATGGGTGGGCTTGATGAAGTGATACCAGTTTCCACATGTCTGGTCTAAAGTCACTTCAGTCTTAAATAAGCAAACAACACACTCAGAGGGGCCTACCTCCAGAGCCCCCTGCCTTTTGGCATGCTCCAAGGTAATCCCACCACCTCCAGGGGGCAGTACAGACCAGTCTGGGAGCCACTGCTGTAGTGCAATCAGTAAAAACTGTCTTAAATGGCAATAATATAAGTTTGTGTGAGTACTTTCTCGCCACATTCCCTAGAAAAGAAACCTAGTAGTATCAATGGTTACCTTATGTCCTTCACTTGACTATGATACTCATAATTTTCTATGTGCTTCCCCACCAAAATTCTGTAGATGAGTCTTAGTTCTTTGTGTATATAGAAGAGACATGCTGTCTGTCATGATGTGATGTGTCATGTGAGTGGCCATACTGTGAGTGACAGTGCTTGTGAGAGTCAAGACACACCTGAACACTTACATTGGTATATATGTGGTGCGGTTACGGAGGAGAGGACAGATATTGAGTCCATCTCAATATTGCTTCCTCCCAGTGTCATAGTGGGTGTGCCTACAAACAGACCAAACAATCAGCGGGACCAAAAGGCAACAATTTATGTCATACACTCTCCAAGTCATGTGGAAACCTGGTGAAGGAAACTGAATTGTATAAAGTTTATGCTCATGCAAAGGTCACCATGTTACACAGAATAACTCACATCATGAATGGAATAAGCTTTAATAACAGACTTGCATTTTACCACATTCTGAGCCAATTATGTTAAGTGCATATTATCCCAACATACTTAGTACCTACGTGGCAAAAATTTCAACCTTATACAGATTCTTATTACAAGGTTGAAAATTTTGAGTGTTACAACAACTTCTGGATTCAGCAGCATGTCAAATCTATCTTATTTTATGTACATTCAAGAAATATTTTAAGCAATTTTTCCATACATCTGAAATTTTTAGAAACTTCTTATATGTTATTTACTAATGAAAGAAAAGCAGCTTGGTGGGAAGGGGGGGGCAGCATTTGCCTCCTCCCCCAGCAACATTTTAACTTGAAAGTAATAACGGGAAAATCTTGAACACAGTTTGTCCACCATCTGGCTTTCTGTTGAGAGACCTACAATTCTATAGCAATCCTTAATAATATATTCAAACAGCCTACACAGAAGTTAGTAAGCAAATTACCTGGCTGCTCCCCACTGGAAAAATTCCTGATGGCATTAATGATTGTTATTATTATTACAGAACATACACAGATGTAAATACTGATTACTAAGATCAGCATCCTCTCATCTGTACTGGTGAAAAATGTGTGACAAGTCTGCTGAAATTGCGACCTCGATATGAAAGATATTCCTCCAATAGATACAAACTGCTCTAACATGAGCTATGAAGCCTGGGAACAGTACTAGATTAACATGATGTGGTTTTTTAGCCTGTTTTCCTTATTTTGAAAAAATAAAAGGAAGCTTATGAGACCACCTTGCTGTCTGCGTCCCCCCAGTGCCTAAATGCAGGAACAGTGGAGCTAGAAGAGGCAGCTCAGGGCCATAGTGTGGCTGGAAGGATGAGGTAAACTGAAAAATCCCATGACCTCATCAGAAATCAAACCCACGACATTCTTGCTTGTGGTATAGTGCCTCAACCAACTATGCTACAACGTGCCCCAAGTAACCGTTTGTAACGTTTCTTAAAATTATATTTATATGGCTGATGTACCTACCCCAAACTCTTCACTTAATTAATCCTATCATGGCAGAATCTCTCTCTCTAGTTTCATATTTAACTCCTTCTTTTACACATTCAGTATGAAATACTTTCTTTTAGCCTTCCCATGGTCACTGGAATTCCTACTGGACTCTTAGACATGTCTATAAAGGAAAGGGGGTAAACATCCACAATAATCACAAAGAAACTAGTATACAACAAAAAGGATAGGCCTGAACTGAGGAAGGCAATGTCTCATTCATAGCAGCCAACAGGAAAATTATAGAGTCACTGCTGCCAATCTACCAGTTTCAAAAGTAACCACATTTCTGATCATATCTGACATCTCCGGGCTGGATAAGAGGTCCAGAACCTGCATTAACTCCTGTTGGAATAGCTTTGTATCTGCTTACCATCCGTGGTGGAATCTGAGAGATTGCCCCCACCAGAAGTGGCACCTCCAGACTCTCTGTCCGAGCTGCCCCGAACTCCCGAGTCTGCGCTGCAACTACCCCTGTCACCTGGCAACAGCCCCATGCTGTTGTAACCATGGTGACCAGACAAAAGCCCTGGGTGTCCTGGCAGTCCACACGTCGGAGTCGTCAGACCACATGATGACCCATTGACCCGTGACACTGATATGGACATGGAAGCAAGGCTCTCCTGGTCTGACAAACAGCCGCCACCGCCTCCACCACCACCTTGGGCTGCCAGCTGCCGACGTGCCTGTGAAGATTACTGTCTTCTGTGATATGATGCTGTGTAGTATGGCAGAAAGTTAGCAATGATTCGGCTCCTGCTGCTTCCATCTTCAGGGTAGAGGAATAAGTACTGCATGGAAAATGGTGGTTCAGATATATGGACAGGTGAAAGGATAGAGGGCAAACATGTCAGAGTATTTTTTTTACTGCTAGTGGGGTGGGACTGAGTACCTTGCACTGCAGCCACTTCTGGCCTATTGTACCAGCCCCAGATGATAGGTGAGGGTGATTGTGGAGCAATTAGTGGAATGAAGATTGGCAGGGGAAACCGAAGTACTCGGAGGAAACCTGCCCCAGCGCTATTTTTTCCACCAGAAATCCCACTTGACCACACCCGGGGTCAAACCCGGGCCGCCGCGGTGAGAAGGCAGCAAATAACTGCTTGAGCTATGGCACGGCCAAAACATGTCAGAGTAAGCAAGTATTGGGAAGTCAGGAAAAACAGAGTAAGGAAATGGTCGCTCTTTAAAAGTGCAGAGTGAATGGGCAAGGTGAAGCTGTCCCTTTGCTTAATCAACTAAACACAATGCCATGAAGATTTACAGTCCATCATTCTTGACTTTGGCACTGGATGGAGGTGAACGGTCAGTTTCACACCAGACAATTTCAGCTCCAAGGACAGACTCCCCACTGCCCATTGGGAGGGCCCAGAGCTGGTCTGGATAATGTGGAGAAGAGAAAATCTTACTCCTACAGGGAATCGCACCCCAGCCATTCAGCTAGCAGCCCATTACTTTATTGACTGACGTATCCCAGCTGTCTAGAGTGAATAAAAAATGCTACTAGGGGTTGATTCAAAGGAAATGGTAGGGGGAATGAGAAGGGGTTGGTGAGAGAGGATAATAGAATAAATTAGGGATAGGATGAAGGAATACCGACCTTTTAAAGGGTCCTATTCTACGGCAGAGTGAGTGAAAGTAGTGACAGCAGTGAGTGAACTAAGGAGGAAGAAGGAAATGAGGATAAACAGTAGCCGTTTAAAGGGTTCTTTTAAAGGCAGAATGAAGAATACGAAAGATAAAATATTAACAGGGATTCATACAAAAGGCAGAATAAAGGAGAAAAATTGGAGAATCACAAGACAGAATGGGCAAACTAAATAGATTATGGCAGACTATGGTGCAATAATGCTTGCATAGTGAAATGTGTTTATTTCAGTCCCGTTCAAATAAAATTGAAGTACAAGAATCATTGTGACCCATGTCACTGAAGTTTGCTGTATCCTGAAATGTGACACTGTGCAATCTGGTAGAAATGCACAGATTTTTCAGAATAACCTGCTGGCTCCACCAGTAGGATACAAGAGGAAGTGAAGATGGAGGCACCAAATTTCTCCAAAACATCAGTACCATTTTATCAGGCTTTACAATATAACATTTCTGTCACTAACTGCCAGATCACAAGAACCCTTTCAAACTGGAGTATCTTGTAATGTGCAAGGTTTTTTTTTTAATGCTAGTGGGGTGGGACTAAGTCCTTTGTACTGCAGCCACTTCTGGCCTATTGTACCAGCCCCAGATGATAAGTGAGGATGATTGTGGAGCAATTGGTGGAATGAAGATTGGCAGAGGAAACCGAAGTACTCAGAAAAAACCTGCCCCAGCACCACTTTGTCCACCACAAATCCCACTTGACCAGACCCAGGATCGAACCTGGGCCACCGTGGTGGGAAACTAGCAACTAACCGCTTGAGCTATGGCGCGGCCTTACTGTGCCGGTTTCCTTGCTAACAACTGGATGAGATACCATGCAGTTAGTCTCACAGAAGTTCATTTGCATGCTCCTTGCTGGCTGCTTCTTTGGCTTTCTCTTCAACCATGGCAGTATGGTCCTCCAAAATGTTGGTAAACATCCATGGGGAGTGGATGTATAGATCCATACTTTCTTGACCTCGGCACTAGCTGGAGGTGAGTGGTCAGTTTCACATCCCAGCCACTTTACACCCAGGGAAAGTGCCCTCTGTACCCATTGGACAGGAAGTTGGGTGGACCCAAGAGCCAAACTGGACAACATGAAGAGGAAATTCTTGACTCTACCAGGACCCAAACTCTGACCTCTCAGTCACTATACCAACTGAGCTATCCCAGATCCTATCTCTCAGATTATACAGCATCAAATTTTAAAAGATAGTACTCATCATAGTAACTGGTATGAGAACCTCAAATTCAGCAAATTGAATTACCTCCATGTAAGGACAGACTCCAAGATTTTAAGAACTATAATGTGTGAAGAGAAAAAAAAATCTGTGGCTTTTAGTCTGCAAGCGAACTATACCGACCAAGCAACTGTCACTTGTTGGACAAGTTAGTGCCAACTTTTGTGGATAGAGGGTGTTGCATGGTCTGCGCAACAGATCCCCACAGCCATTAATCTCGGTTTTCTAGACCAGAGCCGCTATTCCCTTGAAATAGCTCCTCACTTATCCTCACAAGGCTGAGTGGACCCCATTCCAGACCCACTACTTCTCAGAAAATCTGGTAGCACCGGGAACTGAACCCAGGACCTGTAGATGTGTAGCCAGGGATTCTGACCACTAGAACACAGAGGCAGCCAATACTTTGTGAAGAGAGCTCTCAACGTGCAACATAAAGCACTGAGGAGTTACAATCAGATGGGAGATTTCTAAACCTTGCAATGCATAAAGTTTCTGTTAACAGGATGCCATGGGCCGAAATCTGTGTTGCAAAACAGATCACGCTGGGCACAAGTTACTTGTGTCATATTAATCTTGATCCAGGCTGTTGATAAGCAAGAGACAGAGGGTTCCAGGCATTCAGCCAACTAACGTAAACTAGAGGGTAGTTTCTGACACCTTCGGATATGTCACGCACACTGGCCAAGCACCAGAGTTTGCAACTTTACCAAGCAACTCATCCCAGTCTCTATTTAGATGGTGCCCCGTAACTTGGATACCAAGCAGGCTGCCTCTTGTAAGGGCGGATACACATTCTATGATCAATATCTATTTAATGTTCCTTCACTTGATGTTTTCTCCCATTTAAAATTCCATTTCATTAAACCCAAATTTGTAATTTCAGTATTAAATTTCCCTTCCATTTAATATTTTCTTCAGCTTAGTATCCAATTCTACTCTTCACCAAAGAAACTTAAATGAGGACTTCACTGGAAGTTATGTTCGGATAGATGATTCAAAATGTAAGCTTTCATAACACTGCAGATATAAAATAAGAAATGTCCATAAAAATAAAAATGAGCAGGCTGGTGTAGTGGTAAAACTCTTGACTCATACTCTGGAGGTGTTTGATCAAATTTTGGCCAGGGCTGTAGCTATCCTGGTTGAGATTTTCCACAGTTGTCTTTCAACTCTTAAGGTAAATGTATAGGGACAGTACTGCAGACAATGACAGTTTCCTTCCAAATCCTTTCCAATTCATCATTTGTCTATCACCCTTCCATTTGATGCTGCACAGGCTATGACAGTGACTGCACCATGAAGTCGACCACATAAAGTATCTTGTTTATATACAAGGGTCAGATAAAAAGTAGTGGCAACACCTCTATAGTTTTGAAATGACTTTATTACCTGAGGTAAACACACTTACATTCCTTCACCATAATCGCCCCCCATGTGTACCACCTTCTGCTAAATTTGTGGAAAGCGTCGTACACCATCAGCATGTCCACTTCTGTTGATGTCCAGCAGTGACCGCCCTACAGCACGAATAATCTCCTCTCTTGTGTTGTAACGTGTTCCTCGTAGTGGTTCTTTCATTTTGGCAGAGATCATAATCGCACGGACTCATATGGGGTGAGTATGGCGGGTGTTACAGTATCTCCCACCGCCAGCAGCGAAGGAGATCCTTGACAGCATCAGCAGTATGAGCCCTTGCATTGTCATGAAGGAGGATGGGGTTCATTGCCAACAAGCGTCGTCTCTTTCTCCTGAGTGCTGGACGAAGATGATTACGCAGGAAATTGCAGTAGTAGGCAGCGTTTACTGTCTGTTGTTGAAGTACAGTGTGGTGCACTATCGCTCCATCAATGTCTTATGCCACAATGAACATCGCCTTCACATTGCTCTGTGTAGGGCGCACTTTCTTTGGACAAGGAGAGCCAGGATGCTTCCATTCATTTGAGTGTTGCTTCAAGTGCGGTTCGTATGAGTGAGCCCAAGTTTCGTCCAGAGTGACGATCCTTCCAAGGAAGTCCTCGCCTCCTCTCTGGTACTGGTCCAACAAGTCCTGTGCAATTGCACAACGTTGCCATTGTTGCAACTCAGACATTGTATGGGGTACCCAACACGCTGCAATTTTGCGGTATCCAAGAATGTGGAGCACGGTTTTGTGACATACGCCTACCTCAGCAGCTAACTCCCGCAAAGTCCATCGACAATCAACATCCAGCAAAGAAGCAAGAAGTTGAATTGTGTGGTTGTCAACATGGGGTCGTCCTGAATGGCATCCCTCCCTTCACGGAACAATTTCACCCATCATGCCACTGTGCGATATGGCAAAGCAGCATCACCATATGCTTCGCGCAGTCTCTGATAACAGTTTTGTGCACTACAACCTCATGCAACTTCAATGTTTATCCAGGAGCGTTGTTCTTGTTTCGTAAACATGTTGTTAGGGTGCTTGAACTGGGCTCCTGCACTTCAAGACAATGCACAATGCAACTCAATGAAACACAACCACAGCCACTTACTGCACTACTTCAACTGAACTTCTGGAAGGAAGGAAGGAAAGAAAGAAAGAAAGAAAGAAAGAAAGAAAGAAAGAAAGAAAGAAAGAAAGAAAGAAAGAAAGAAAGAAAGAAAGAAAGAAAGAAAGAAAGAAAGAAAGAAAGAAAGAAAGAAAGAAAGAAAGAAAGAAAGAAAGAAAGAAAGAAAGAAAGAAAGAAAGAAAGAAAGAAAGAAAGAAAGAAAGAAAGAAAGAAAGGAAAAAGAATGCTGTAAAAGGCATGCATAATGAGAGAAAACTAGAAACTTGCAGAATCACAAAGCAGCAGAAGGTTTGACTCTATGAAACAGACACTTCTGTATACTGAATGCTTTGACTCTATGAAACAGACACTTCTGTATACTGAATGCACCATCTCCCGATAACACAGAATTTGGCTGCAGTCACAGACACACCATTCAGTTTAACAGTGACACTGACCTCTTGCAGCTGTTCTTGAAGCTGCTGCAACTGCTGCTCCTTTATCTCAAGCTGTGCAGCAAGGGAAAGGCTTCTCTCGGCCTCATCCCGGGCATGACGCAGCAAACTCCACCTCTCTCGCTCACGTTCTTCTCGCTCAGTTGAGAGCTGCTGCATTGATGCATCTTGTTCCCGGATCTATGAAGAAACACCCTTATAATGCATCTCTCTTCGAAACTGACAGTCACACATGAGATTAAAAAATTACCAAATTTATTGGAACTAAAATTTTCTGCCATGATAACAAAAGCCCACCTTATAACCCTAGGTCAACTGAATACTGTGCAGACATTTACAGCTTACCTCTTTACAGTCAATTTTTATACTGGCTTTCCATCTATGGCTAAGTCTCTTAAGTGACTCTTCCTTTAAGGTACTCCGCATACAATTTGTGCAAAGTTTTCATTTTCTTAATCCATGCTATAAGTCTCGCCCATCTCATCCTCCTTGATTTGATCACTCTAACAATACTTGGTTAATAAGTGCATACATGAAGCTTCTCCTTATGAATTTTTCTCTACCTTCTTGTTATCCCTTCCCTTTTAAATTAAAATATTCTCATTCTCAAGCATCCTCACTGTGAAGGGTTCCATCTTCTGGGACATGATGTTGTGTAGTCCAGTAAAAGTCATAAGACGTTTTGGAGGAATATGTTTCTTCCATCTTCAGGGCTAACTGCCTGCTTTATGCTGGTTTTCTTGATTGGCTTACTCTTTAACCCTTTGAAATGTCAGTTGATTTTCACTGGGCTACACAGCATTGTATTCCAGAATACATAATTCTCCACAGCCACTGCTGGGAGAACCTCAAATCCAATTTCCTTATTGTGGTTCTCTCTCAAAGTACAGTTCAGGTTTCACACCTATACAAAATAATACATCAAACTGTAGTACCATGGGCTAACATTATAATATTTAGTCTTTTAGAAATCATATAGTAAAATGAAAGAACATGAATGTGACATGCTGCATACCACATTGTTTATCTGTTTATCTGTACATTGCAAGGGCAAAGGTAATCACATCCTTAATTCTGTAAAAAATAAGGTCCAAAAAAAAACTCTGCGGTTCTAGTCCGCATGCGAACTGTACCGACCAAGCGACCGCCGCTTGTCAGCGAAGTTAGTGTCAGCTTTAGCAGATAAGAGGGTGTCATGTGGTCGGCGCAATGAATCCCCACGGCCGTTAATCTCGATTTTCTAGACCGGACCCGCTGTTTCCTCAACTATCCTCACGAGGCTGAATGGACCCCGTTCCAGGCCCACTACTTCTCAGAAAATCTGGTAGAGCCGGGAATCGAACCCAGACCTCTGAATCTGTAGCCAGGAACTCTGACCACTAGACCACAGAGGTGGTCAAATAAGGTCCAAAAAACATACCTAAAAGATTATACAAAAGTGGCCCAATATTTCAGTAATTTTTGTTTTCCTACACTCATAACATACAAAGAGCACATCTCCTAAGATCTGATGCTGTGTGCCCCAGCCAGAAATTCGACATTTTGGAGAACAGCATTGCCTTCATCATGAGGGCAAAGAGTATGTCCAGCAAGCAGAGCAAAGCTCACTCTTTGACCCTGAATATGGAGAAAACAGATTCCTCTGAAATGCCAGTGACTTCTATCGAACTACATGGCATCACGTTCCAGAGGACAGTCTTATTCAAATTCACTGCTCTAAGGACCTCAGATCTAATGCCCATAATTTATGTTACTCTCACAGAGATGCAAAATTAATGACAAATTATTATTTTATATAATCTAGCTTGAACTGTAGGAGTTTGAGAAAACAGGCAGGGATCTATGTGGATTTGAAGTTCCAAGGGTGTGATGGCGTCTAGTTTTGTGGGCCGGTACCAATATCATGCGAGTGTAACACATCTTGCTCACTTTGTCATAATTCCTGATGAAGTCTCTCAGCTCTTTCTCCTTGTCATCCAGCGTTGCGTACAGTTCCTTCATCTGGTTCAGCAGGTCGTACTTCTCTGCTTTTAACCTCTTCCTGTCAGCTTTCAATACTGAAACAAGAATGCATATGTACCTTCTGCAACAGAACACTTACATTAACACTCCTCATACAATCTAAGATATCTCGGAAGCACTGTTCTTTCTTCTCTGCTTTCAACATCTTCCTGTCAACTTTCAATACTGAAACAAGAATGCATATATACCTTCTGCAACAAAACATTTACATTAACACTCCTCATACAATCTAAGATATTTCGGAAGCACTGTCCTTTCTCCTCCATTTGGGGGGGGGGCAGGGGGGTTTCAGAAGATACCTGAAAGAAACAAGTCCTGTGACATATGAGGTCCTCACTGCAGTTACTACGAAGATTACTGCCTCCTAAAATGTTGCCTGGTAGATTGTTACTGATGTTTTGGAGAAACATGCTATCTCCATCTTCAGGGTAGAAGAGTATGGCAAGTGTGGAAAAAAAGTGGTTATGCTATATGCAAGAGGGACCAGGATGGGAGACCAATATAATCTGCGGCAGTAAGAATTAACAGATAAATTGAGGGTGGATAGGGGAGGGAGGGAAAGAGGTGGGGTAAAAGAGGATGAACAGGTGTACAAAGAAAATGGATACAGAAAGTTCTGGGAAGAACTGTTTCTTTTCCTTTCATTACATATTTAGTATTTGATATGACATGGATTGCCCAAAAAAACTGCATCCAACAGTTTTTCTACTGTTGTGTATTTGCTGCCATAGGAACATGTTTACCGAGTTGTTACCTAGCAACAATGTGGCGGGGTACAAAGACACATATACTGAGGTGATCTCCTAAGCCCCCTTTTATGTTTTCAAAAAAGGAAAGCAGGCCAAAGAAAAAAGTAAGATAAATTTAAATGTTAAACTGAGTAAGAAAATAAAATAAAAATAAAGCACTACTTGTGTATTTTTGGTACTAATTTCTGTTTTTATATTTATATTGTTTATTTTATTTTTGTTTCAATTCACAGCTTCCTTCTGCCTACATTTTCATACTTCTTTCCAATGGACATCCGCCACCTCCATTTTCCTTCCTTTTGTTTCTGATACTCATTTCACCCAATCAATTTATTCTACTTAATTTTTATCCATTTTATTTCCACTCCTGTCCATCCTCTCTATCCCAACTTCCTTCCTTCCTTCCTTCCTTCCTTCCTTCCTCTTACAGTTCCCCTCCCCCTACATGTACACCCTCATTATATCTGTCACTTCTCAGAATCATCATCCCCTGCTAGTGCAGCTACAGTCCCAGTACTTGTCCCGCAGCTGCAGGGCCACTCTTTTCCATGCTTAGCTTACTCTTCTACCATGAAGATGGGGGCATCTGGCAGTAACAATCTACTAGACTGACTGTGTCACATCCGAGGAGAGAGTAACCTTCAAAACACTTCCTGCCGACCTTCTCTTCTGCCTCACACTACTGCACCACAATCAGATTCTAGACTGGAAAGCAAAACATTGCACTCAAATATACCATTCAGCGAGTCAGACGTAGAAATTTGCTAACATGTTCTGCCCCACCAACCTTAACCAAAAGAGGGCAGTTCTCCCAAAGCTTCATCACAATAATACAAAATTATTGCACACTAATGGAAACTGTCATTATCTTCGCCATTTCTTATAACAATTCTACTTACATTGCTACATAACATATTTAGATTATTGCCAATTAATAGTCATGATGTGAATACAAGATTAGCAGAACTAATTCTTATCATACTCACTGACAAACTATGATGATTCTGACATGTCCACCTAGTGGGTTATGTTGACTACTTTAATGGCTATGAAACAGAACTGGATGAAAATTAAGATCATCATTTATACCACAATAGACGTAGTAAACATTTGTGGTAATTTCTAGATACTTACTTTTAAATCCCTGAATTAATTTCATATACAAATTTTGTGTATTGTAAATAGAATATCAATGGGTTAAACTGAAAGATAAGATTTCCTCACCTGCTAATGCTTCCTTCGCATGCTGCAACTCTATCTCAAGAGCCTGTATCCTCAGCGGATCATCAAAATCTACTACCGCACTGGCTCCTTCCAAATCGCTGATACCACCCCCCACCAGCTTCCTCAACTGCTCTACTTCGTTCTGCAGTCGTTCATTTTCAAGTCTGAGTCGCATTGTTGCTGCTGGGTTATTGTCACAGTTGGTTCCACTTGATTTGTTCTTGGAGCGGGATGACGCTGATGGCGGTGTGGCTTCTACCGCACCTGTGAAACAAAGAAGCTTCTTGAGATCTGATTATTACTGCCATAGCAACGTTTGGAGTCCATAACAGGACTCAGGAAGGGATTTTCTTCAAGGTACCTCCAAAATAATGACTACAGAACTGTAAGAATTAAACAGGAACCAGTTTGGACAACTTGGAGTACACTGAAAGGGTATCTTTTAAAATAGGGACTAGTCAATAACCACACTTGTGAAAGGTGCCAGAACTCAGTGTAAACCTCACATTACACATGTAGCTGTGAGGCCTCAGTTACATTTAGATTTTGTCATCGAGGTTTCCATTGTATGGAACAAAGTGACTGCTTCGACATCCTGTTAAGTAAAATACTGTTTTTTATTTCTGGTAACAAGCTGGATGGTTGCAGATCCGATTCCTGATGGGGTCACTGGATTTTTCAATTGACCTAATCCTTCCAGCCGCATTATGGCCTTGGGTTACACTCAGCCTCTAACAGAAATGAGTACCAGGAATTTTCCTGGGGGTAAAGGGCGGCCAGTGCATAAGGCTGACAACATCAGAGGCATCTGTGAGCTGATTGCCTAAAATATGTGGCAGCCTCCACATCTCACAACCCTATGGGCCTCTATGGCCTGTTACAGGGATGGTTTACCATTTTTTTACTATTTTTTATCTTAAGTGTGGTATTATTAGGGGCCTAACTAGATGGGGACACACAACAGGCTGAAAAGAAGTCACGCTGTTAGGCCTGGTTTGGCCCATCTCTTATTCAATCCTTCACGAGCATTACATCTTCTGGGATACAATACTGTGTAGTCTGGAACACCATTACCACAGTAACCCCATAAGACTACATGGCATCACATCCAGAAAACAATAAGCTTCAAACAATATTTACAATTCTTGAAGTGGCAGGAAAACTGACAATGATCTGGTATAAATTAATGTGCTCTCGCTGTGGTAGGCTAGATTCAACTGACTGTTTCTTTTCAAGGGTCAGAGATGTCATACGTGGTCATGAAATATGATCTCTCACATTTAAGGTGGAACAAACTCTGAGGGAGTTAGGGAACAGTGTGCTGGGTTGAATATTAGGACTTTAAAAGGAAGAAAAAACAGGAGCCTAAAATAACTGCATAATGAGGAGCTTCACAATTTGTACTCCTCACTTAATATTATCAGGATGATCAAATCAAGGAGGATGAGATGGCACAGTATGTAGCATGAATGGGAGGAAAGAAAAATACATCCAAAATTTGGGCAGAAAACCTAGAATAAACCACTTGGAATACCTAGGTGTAGATGTGAGGATGTATAAAATAGATTTTCAGGAAATAAAATGAGGGTATGGATCAGATTCATGTACCTTAGGCTAGAGGCCAGTAGCGGTTCCTTGTGAGCAAAGTAATGAATCTTCAGGTTTAATACAATACTGAGCATTTCTTGATTAGCTGAGCAACTATTACTGAAAATGAGTCTGTTCTATGCAGTTAACTAAATGCAACCACCTACTTTACAGCCATTTCATAATATTTAAGTGATCATGATTATGGCATTGATTCGAAATGAGAGATCTTACTAATTCCGAGGTATGTAGGAAGCTGCAGAGGTTTGGAATGAGTCCAAGGCCCGGTTAACTTTCCCACCGCCAGCCTCATTAAGCTCAGGATTTGGTTTCACAGTAACCATGGGACTTCAGAATTATTAAAGTGGCCCTTGATTTTATCAGATGATTGATTATATGTAAATTACAGGTCTCTCACTCACCACGCTTAACGGGGGTTTCCTGGCCTCACAGTAACATTTAGTCACGTTGATATGTAATCAGTCTATACCTTCACTATTCTTTTTTTTCTAAATCTTTCAGACAGCGCTCACAAATATGGCGGCACTGTTATGAACTGGAGCGGAAAATCGCACAACAGTGGGATCCATAGGAGCTCTCCAGGTTGAAACGGAATTTTGTCAGTGGCTGCTTTTCACAAGCTAAGACCCAGATTAGGGCTTACCAGTCTGAGGGAACTCTGAACGGAAGAGGGTGGGGAGTGTACGAGAGAAGCACAATCTGTTGGAAAACTCCGTACGTGAAATAAATGGCAGACTGCATCTCTTTGGACTGGATGGGCGGAAACAACACACACGGGAACGGCTGCGACAAAAGAACATATTGTAACTGACTAATTTGGTGGGAGGGGGCGTTGTCGTCGATGTCCGCTATATCCGAGTGAAGGGGCATTCATGGGCGTACACCATAAGAGACATGGGCAATACATGCAATACACTCGTACACAGAAACACACAATGATATTAAGTAAAGGTTTATACATTGCGGTTTGTTTTTATTTGAAATGTTTCTCTAAACACAAAACCTTCTTGGCGACTGAATTTCTCTAAAAATTCTCAATTGCACACAGCAAGATTTTGTCCGTTATATCCGAAATCCCTTACATCGGAGTCAGTTATAACGAGGGCTTACAATAGTTTCATTGTTACCAATACACACACTCAAATTAACATCGATCATAAATATATATGAATCAGAATATATTCATTTTCCAGGAAGGTCAAAAAACCAACATGATCTATATTCTGAGGAAAGATTCCAGCAAGTAGTCACCCCACATCACAATACCACTACCACAGTGGAACAACAAACAGTACACCTATGATATGTAGCAGGCATAAGGCTATAAATAACTTAACAGCCATTTTAAACCATAATTTTAACTGTAATTTTAATTTTAACTTTTATCCATTTAATATCAAATGACTAGTTTTAACTATATTTGAACCACATTTTAAAATTAAGATATAATTGTCAGTACAGAATAAGCATACAGACACAACATGAATTCATATTGGTTAACGACGCAATTCAGAAGCTAAATAGAATTCATGTACGACTGAAGATGACCCAGGAAAACGGTCGAAACATGCAGCGATTACCACCAAATACGAATACAAACAAATGTTGACATAGTACGGTAAAGCAAAGTAAAGCTATCCCTGTAACAGGCCGTGAACGCCCATAGGGTTGTGAGACGTTGAGGGTCCCACATTTTCTAGACAATCGGCTCAAAGATGGCGGTAAGGTTGTCAGCCTTACGCGCCGGCCGCGCTTTACTCCCCAGGAAAATTATTTAATTAATTCCTGGTACTCATTTCTGTTAGAGGCGGAGCCGACCCCAGGGCCATAGTGCGGCTGGAAGGATTAGGTCAATTGAAAAAAATCCAATGACCTCTTCGGGACTTGAACCCGCGACCTTCCGGCTTGTAGCATAGTGCCTCAACCAACTACGCTACCGCGTGCCCCTGACACAGTAGTATATATGGGAGTTTCGTTTATGTGTTTGTTCTGTCAAATATATTGTCATCTGTTTGAGTGACTACGACGCGGGTCTGGATGGATGAATCGGTTTATTGGATCTTCACTAATAAAAGAACTCCGTGGCCTGTAGTCCGCAAGCGAGCTATACCGACCGAGCGACCACCGCTTGTCGGCGAGGTTAGTGCCAACTTTTACGGATAGAGGGTGTCACGTGGTCAGCGCAACGGAACCCTGCGGCCGTTAATTTCGGTTTTCTAGACCGAGGTGTAACTACAAATAATTGTAACAATTTCACGGTTACTGTAATTATCACACGCAAAGTCTTCAATTCACACGTTAAGACTTCACAGGCCTCCTACGAACTTCTCGCGGCTGTTTGCTACCGAGAACTGAACTGAACTGAACTCAAGTCAAAGTCAAAGTCACATTGCGACTGACGGTCAATCAGTCAGTCAGTAAGTCTTGGTGTCGAGCCCCATCTGGGAATAATGGCCAGGTATTTATTACTGTTTGACAGTTGCGATCTTGATTTTGTGGGGCGCCTCTCTGACGAGAGGACGGGTCTGTCTTTTGTAAATGCTACTGGCCCTTGCCAGCACAGCCTTCCTCGCGTCCGAGTCCCTTGGGACTCGCGACCATAATTTACTGTTTCAGATTTGAGACTTCCCTTTTCGTCGCCTCCTACGACTCGCAGGGTCACGGTGGAGTTATTCGACCCCGCCTCGACACGGCTTTCTTTTCGGATTTTTCTCAAAATTATCTTACGACCGTTTATAACTGCCACAGATTGTTTATAACACCTCGATACGAACCGCATAGAAAACACCGATTCTAACAGTTATTCTATTGCGTCACGCAACTGCCGCACGAACCGCGTATAGAGCACTGCTTCCAACACAGTCCATTGGTTCGCGTAAGGAATATGTTGCTGGAATCTGGAGTTGTTTACAAACTCATTATTTAGCAAGGGGTGTACGCCGTACAATACTATTTAAATGGAGAGTTGGTACTGCTTGTAACAATGGGAATTATACGTATATATGCAGCATTGTTACTTTACTTGGCGCATGGAATTCGTAGAGACACAGAATTCGCATGGAAAATGTTTCAGCCTTGGTTTGGTAGCTTGTGGCGGTGTAGCATGGGATCACATTTCGACGCACCGCCACAAAAACAGACGTTTTACAATGGCCGTTTGCTTACTTCATCCGAAGAATGAACCAAGTCGTAGTCCTCTCGCCTTTACAAAGGAAGACAAAGAAAACACGAACAGAAATAAATGCCAAACTTGAACAAGAGACAGGCGCAAATAAAGAGCACCGGAAACATGGGACGAGAGAAGTCAGTAGGGCGAAACAAAAGGCAATCAGAAATGAAGGACTAGCGGAAACAAAAGCCTGACAGAAAGAAAAGAAAGGCAGAGACAAGGCACAAATTTGCTCTGCCGCCATGTTGTTAAGCTCCTAAAGCTCTTTACGGCCTTAGAAATGTCTCCTACATTCATACTTTTTGGAATTATGGATATTTGTTGCCGCCTGGAATTCCCCGCAGAGCTGTACCATTATCATGAAATCTACGTCAGTTACTTATACTAAAACTACTGTAACATCCGTGGAAAATCCCACAAGAAATCTCATCATTTGTTACGTAAGCTTCAAGCTTCCATAGAACTAACAGACATGTTCCACTGAAAC